TCGATCATAGGCGTGCGGTATTCAAAAAGCAAATGCATAAAATTGTTTATTTTCTTCCGCAATAAAAATTAAACTTTAAAGACAAAAAATCCCACTCCGCCATTTCTTCCTCAGCGAAATAGAATATAGTGGTAGATTTGATGAGCTAGAGACTGTAGATGTGTGATTTCAGATCGAAAATTACTTTTATCGCCTTTGCAGAATTTCAAGACTCCCGCTGAATTGAAAAGTCAATGCTTGTCAGGAGATCGAGAAGCTGACATTCTCAAGTTGATAGCTGAAGGACGCCGCTATCTAGGGCTACCGCACTTGTTCTGGGGTATCTGGAATATCCTTTTTGCTCAGGTAGGTAGCTAAACATTATTAGTAGATCACAACTTCTTTAGAAACCAATTGAAAAAATTTTGTTGTCAGAATGATCGAATTGACTTTTATTCAAGCCAAAATTCATGCAATATGCCCAACTATCGTCACATCCGGATTTTTATATAAGGGCAGCCTAAGTTCACCATCAAGACCGAATATTACTAATCACCCAGTAGCATTCATGGAAAAAAGTGACAAGTTTTTACTTTGATTTTTCTATTCTTGGTATATCAAGTAACAGTCTAGCATAAAAAATCAGAAGAAAGCTCATACCTCAATTATTTTCCATTTGTTCACATAAAACTCTGATATGATGTAGTGAAGAATTCACAACAAAAAATCGCTTCGCATTTTAGGAGCATAAAGCGCTGGAAGATATGGACTACGACGCACAGTTCAAGGATCGTATAATCATGTATTTCAAATTCAAACCAAATATGTACAAATACTGACTGTATGTATGAAGTAACTGCGGCCAGTGATAGTCAGTTTGTAAATTTTATTGATTTCTTATTCGGCGTGATTTGTCAGTACTCTTTCTAGTTCACTTTCATTTCACTTTCAATCTTTTAAACTTGTAAGTGCATTCCTCCTTGTGATTCTCACTAATTTTGAGTAGATCATGATCTGATTGTTCACTTTTATACTGTGATATTTTGGAAAATTATTTCAAAAAATATCACAAATTTATCTGAAAATAGATTTTAGGAAAAAGATTTGTTATGGTTTA